AATCTTGGAACACTGAGAATAAAAAAAGAACACAGTAAGTAAAAATATGAGTAAATACAATAGAATTTCCTTCTTGTCTTGGGTTTGTAAAATTAAGTATGATGGTTCAAATAAAAATTATAAAACTCTCTGATATGGTTCTAGACATATATAGACAACATCTTTAAGGCAACTGTATTTATAATTATGGGAAGGTAAGCACATGTAAATGGAGGTAAGGTTTATTTTTCATTTGATCTGGTTAAATGAAGACACCAGTAGACTGTGATAAGTTATGTATATAGTTAACCCTTGAACAACATGGGTTTGAATGTCCAGCTCCACTAATACACAGATATATTTTTTTTATAATTACAGCATAATACTGTGAATGTATTTTCTCTTCATCATGATTTTCTTAGTAATATTTTATTTCTCTGGTTTACTTTATTGTAAGAATATATTATATAATACCTATAATATACAAAATGTGTGTTAATCGACTGTTCAGGTTATTGGTAAAGCTTCTCATCAACAGTAGGCTATTAGTAGTTAAATTTTGGGGAGTCAAACTTATTGCTATGTAGTAGCAACTGTACTTCAAATTCTGAATTTTTCTCTTTTCCCAAGTTAGCAATATTTGTTCTGGGGTGTGGCAGTGAACCAAAGCTCCCAATCAATCATGTGATCACAAGGGTAAACAATTGATATATTTACAACAATTCTGTGCCCATGCAACCATTTGCATGTTTTTCATTTTTAGTACAGCATTTAATAAATTGCATGAGATAGTCAACACCTTATTGTTAAAACAGGCTTTATGTTCGATGATTTAGTCCAACTGTCAGCTAATATAAATATTCTGAGCATATTTAAGGTAAACTAGGTTGAGCTATGATGTTCTATAGATTAGGTATAATAAATACATTTTTGATTTACAATATTTTCAATTTATACTGGGTTTATCAGATGCAATCCCATCACAAGTTGAAGAACTGTATAAAATATTATGTCAAAATGTTATCATAATAAAACAACTAAACATAATTGTCCAGCTAACAAACAGGGAGACAGAAAAAAGAAAATAGAGAAATGAGAAAGATAAAGAACAAAAAACAAAAATAAATAAATAAAATGACAGCCTAACATATCGAAAGATACATTATATGTAAATGATGAAAATATACCAATTAAAAGACATAGATTGACCAAGTCATTAAAAAATATTACGTGGCTATATGATGTCTATAAGAAACTTATTTTAACATAATGATATATAAATATTGAAGAGTAAAAATAAGAAAAATAAATACCACTCAAATATTATTCAAAAAGAAAGCAAGAGTGTCTATGCGGATATCAGACTGAGTTCAAAGCAAAGAAAATCACCAGAGACAGAAAGGGATATTATATAATGATAAATGGTCAAGCCACCAAGACATAACAAACTGATTGAACTAAAAGCAGAAAAATACAAATCCACATTTATATTTGGAGATTTCAATATCTCTTTCTCAAGAATTGGTGTAAAACAACTAGACAGGAAGTTGTAAACATTAGTCCTAACTAACGCAGTATTATAAGAAAAGGAAACAAAAGGTGAAAAGATTAAGAAAAAATAAACAAAACTATCTTTCTTTTGTTGTTGTTGTTTTTTTTAATCTGTACACCTTTATTTCCTTTTCATGCCTTATTTGCACAGGCTAGAATTTCCAGCACTATGTTGAGGTAAAAGTGGTAAAAGCAGACATCCTTGCCTTATTCTAAGTCTTAGGAAACCAGTCTTTTTTTACATTAATTGTAATGTTAATTACACGTTTGCATTGTGACTGTTTGTTTGTAGAAGTGTTTTATCAAATTATGGAATGTCCCATCTATTACTAGTTTTCTGAGAATTTTTACCGTGAATAGGTGTTAATATTGTCAAATGCTTTTCCTGCCTCAATTGATATTATTATCTTAGTTTTCTTCGTTATTATGTTAAAATAGTGGATTATATCTCAGTCTTGCATCCCTAGAATAAACTCTACTTGGTCTTGGTCATTGTGTATTATTCACTTTGTTGTTGAACCCAATGAACTAATATTTGTTAAGAATTTCTTTGTGTCTCTATACATGAAGGATATTTGTCCAAAGTTTTGTCGTTTTTGCAGTATCTTTGGTTTTGGTGCCAGGGCAATCTGGCTTATATAAAGAAAACTACAAAACTCTGATGAAAGAAATCAAAATAGAGCTAAAAAAAATGGAGTTATTTCATGTTCATGAACAGTAGGACTAAATTATGTCAAGATGTCAGTTTTTCCTTACTTGATCTGTAGATCCAATACAATCCCAATAAAAATCCCAGAAAGTTATTTTGTGGATATTGACAAACTGACTCTAAAGTTCATGTGGAGAGACAAAGGAATAACCAGTACAATACTGAAGAAGGGCAAAATCAGAGAACTGATACTACCCAACTTCAAGACTTACTGTAAAGCTACAGTACTCAAGACAGTGTGTATAGTATTGGCAAAAGAATAGGCAAATAGATCAATGGAACAGAACTGAAAGCTAAAAAACAGACCCACACAGTCAACTGATCTTTGACAAAGGAGCAAAGGCAATACCGTGGATAAAAGATAGTCTTTTCAATAAATTGGTGTAGACATCCACATGCAAAGAAAAAAAAATGAGTATCTAAACACAAACCTTATACTTTCACAAAAATTAACTCAAAATGGATCACAGACCTACATGTAAAATTCAAAATTATAAAACTCCTAGATGAAAACACAAAGAAAATCCAGATAACTTTAGTTTTTAGATATAACCTCAGAGATGTGATCCATTAAATAAATAATAAGCTGGACTTCATTAAATTAAAAATGTCTGCTATGTGGAGATAACTGGGTGGTTCAGTTGGTTAAACGTCCAATTTTGGCTCAGGTCATGATCTCACGGTTTGTGGGTTCGAGCCCCATGTCAGGCTCTGTACTGACAGCTCAGAGCTTGGAGCCTGCTTTGGATTCTGTGTCTCTCTCTCTGTCTGCCCTGCACCTCCCCCCCAACTCTGTCTCTGTCTGTCAAAAATAAATAAACATTGAAAGAAAAATTTAGTTAAAACAAAACAAAACAAAAAGTCTGTGTGAAAGATACTATCAAGAAAATGAGAAGATAACCTGTAGGCTTGGAGAATATATTTTTGAAACACATGGCTGATAAAGAACTGGTACACAAAATATATAAAGAACTCTTAAAACTAAACAATAAGAAAATGAACAACCAGATTAAAAATGGGCAAAATCCCTGAGCACACACCTCACCAAAGGAGATAAACAGATGGAAAATAAACATATGAAAAGATATTCAGTATCATATGTCACAAAGATATTGTAAATTAAAACAAGATACCATTAGACACCTATTAGAATGGATAAAATCCAGAATACTGATAACACCATATGCTGGTGAAGATGTGGAACAAAAGGAACTCTCATTCTTTGTTGGTGGGAATGGCAATTTGTCAATTTCTTACACAGCTAACCATATACACACTATATGATCCAGCATTGGTGCTTCTTGATATTTAACGAAAGGAGTTGAAAATGTATGTCCACACAAAAACCCGCACACAGATGTTTTTATCAGCTTTCTTCATAATTGCCCAAACTTGGAAACAACCAAGATGTCCTTCAGTAGGTGAATGGATAAATTACGGCACAAGCATACAATGGAATATTACTCAGCACTAAAAGGAAATTAGTTCTTCAGCCATGAAAAACATGGAGAAACCATAAATACATATTACTGACTAAAAGCAGTAATCTGACAAGGCTTTGTACTATGTATGAACATTCTGGAACTGTATGACATTCTGGAAAAGAAAAAACTATGGATACAGTAAAAAGATCTGTTAGGGATTGAGGGAAGGGATGGTGAATCGGTGGAGTACAAAGGATTCTAAGGGCAGTGAAACTACTCTATATGATAATATAATGTTGGAAACATTTATCAAAACCTATAGAATATATAACACCGAGTGAACCCTAACATAAACTATGGGTCTTAATTAATAATAATGTAACAATGTTGGTTCATCAATTATTAAAAATGTAATACATTAGTACAAGTCTGCTGATCAATTTCCAGGAACACATTCTTCTGCTTTTAAAAATCAAAACTTCGCATAGCATGAGTACAAATGGATAGCATGAAGAAAGAAGGAAACAGTTTGGTTCTAACCCTGCCTCCCAACATCTCAGAAGGGAGGATGGGACTGCAGGCACACTTTCAGAGACAGTGTCATCACTGCACTATCTGGAATGGCTGGAATGCAAAGGTGTTCACCTAATGAATAATTATTTGTTCAAGAAACACGTTTCCTAAAACGTGTACAGGGTGAGCAGTAAGGGTGAACATGACAGTGTCATTGCTCTTATGGAATATTCTATTAAGAAGTGAAGATCATGGCTGGGTACTGGAAACTGAGTCATGAATGTTGGCTCCTTAGAGGATATGACCTGCAGTCTGAGAAGTAAAAATAATTGCCAGGAGCGCCTGGTGGCTCAGTCGGTTCAGCGTCCGACTTCAGCTCAGGTCATGATTCGTGGTTTGTGGGTTTGAGCCCCGCATCAGGCTCTGTGCTGACAGCTTGGAGCACGGAGCCTGCTTTGGATTCTGTGTCTCCTTTTCTCTCTGCCCCTCCCCTGCTTGTGCTCTGTGTCTCTCTCTCAAAAATAAATAAACATTAAATTTTTTTTTTAAAAAAAGAAAGAAAGAAAGAACTGCCAGGTGAGGGCCTGAAAACATTTCTCCAGGATCATATTCTTTATGGTATGTGCCTTGACACATAATTCTCTGTTAGAGACAAGAAAACTAGTCTGTGAGGACAAAGGTATGAGGACTCCACAGCATTCCAGTCTTCTCAAGCAGACTGCCACCCATATTGTGTTTATTCACATATGGAACCCAAGTTCTGAATGAATGTGGAAATAACCCCAAAAGTATATCCGTGGTTCTTACTTGTGAAAATAACTTACAGCTGCCAAATTTCAGAGGGCAAGCATGGGCATCCATCGGGAAGTCCTCAAGTTGCATTGGGCATTCTGCAGAAATAGTCAAGCTGAAAAATAAAAGATGAAGACTTTTTAAATGACTCACCAATTCTATTTACCGAGCAACCACCATGTTTCATAGAGCTATATTAAGTACTTCAGTCATTATTTTAATTACCATCTTTTATGAAATTGTCTGCCTGACCCACCAAATTATATAGGTTTGCATTGATGAATATCATTTAAAAATATGGCTTAAATAAAATCTAGTCAGTTCTGTGGCTTCGTGTGTCTATACATACATTACCACTTGTAAAGTAATTCCAGATGCCTTTAAAAATGATTTATTGTTTGTTTCCCATTCCTAACTCAGAATAATCAAAACATTTCCTTGGACAAGGTTGAAATATATGTATTTTATAAAATAGTTTATAAGCTCAAGAAATATAAATGTATAATAAATTCTCAGTCCAAATTCTGACCAGAAGCTGGTTACAATTATTGTGTATTGGACTGATGACATGAAACAGAGTAGGTGAATTGTGTCATGACAGCAATCTTCTGGTACAACCTAATTGTTTTTAACCCATGTCTGGTCTTGCAGATAGTAATACTACTGTCTGCTACGACTGCCACCAATACTCAAACATCAATGGACATCATATCCACCAGTTGTATGTCAGGCACTGTGATAGGTGCCTTACCTGCATTAACACATCTAATCAGAGTAGCATTATGAGATTTGTTGCTATTAACATCCAAGTTTACGAGAAAGGAAAGTGATGCATAGATATTAAAAGATCAGGACAAGGATGCAGAGCTATGAAGTCAGGGAGTAATGATTTAAGCCCAAGCCTCTGACTGCAGTGGCTTCCTGACAGCACGTCCACCACACACTAAGTGGGAATGGGTTCTGTACAATTCCAAAATTGCCATATTGTTGTGCTTTTATTTCCCTACAGACTTTACTAATTAGATAGTGAATCTAAATTTCATTAATGATTTAATCTTCTGTTTCTTAGATTTCTTCTTCTACTATTTAAAATGAAATTAAATTATATAGAATGAAATCAAAATATAAAATATTCACCTTTAAACAGATGTTATAGTTATATTTTTAGACAAATAATAATTCAACAAGATATTAGCACCATTGGTCCTTCCCTCTTATATTCAGTCCAAATCTTGCCTTTGTGCCCAGAGTGAGAATAAAAATGTAAAAACATTCATTTTTACCTTCACTACTTCCTCCTGTTAAAACAGATTAGCCTTCTGCTCTGAGTACCTAATTCATAGTTAATGATTCCAGACACAGAAGTCAATGTATGTATACTGTGAATGAGACATATTTATGTGTTAGTGCAAGAAAGGTCTGTGCTGATCAAAGAGAAGAAATCCTCTGCTGTCTCTGGTTTGAGGGGCCATTCCCCCAAAGATGGAGTGACTTTTAGATGGTGTGAGTGCACATACATGAGAACACATCATCAAAGTATGACATGCAGGCAGGGAGATGGTATTTAAAATGATATGTGGTATATGTTCATAGAAGGATATGGAAATATACAAAAGAATTTTAAAGGAGAAAACTACAAGTAGGTATCATTTCACTTGTAATTTCACTTGGTAAATTTTTCTACATATTAAAAAAACTTTTTTAAGTTTATTTATTTATTTTGAGGGGGGCGTAGGAGGGGCAGAGAGAGAGGGAGATAGAAAATTCCAAGCAGGCTCCATGCTGTCAGTGCAGAGCCCAATGTGGGGCTCGAACTCACAAACAGTGAGATCATGACCTGAGCTGAAGTCAGATGCTTAACCTACTGAGCCATTCGGGTGCCCTGTACAGATAATTTTGACATGTACATGTATTTTCTTTCACTCTTGTCTTTTGTATATCTAACAGAACAGGATATTTCCCATATGAAAATCTCTACATAATGATTACTTTGAAAGATGAACTATATAATTATAGGATACAGATGTCTGGACTATATGTATGTGTGTACATATAGAATATATAACTATATATTATACACATATAACATATATACAAATGTACATATATAAGATATTTCATATTATGCATATATAATATATATTTCATATACACATACATATGTGTATGTATAACATATATACATATATACACATATATTTCATATTAAATCAATTATGTATAATAATAAATAATATAATAATGTATATATATTAAACTAACTAGCTATTGTTAGACTTTTAGATTGTTTTACACGATAAGTAATCTGCAATGGACTTCTTCAAGCATAAACTATGTATAAGGACTATTATTAGAGACTATGAAGTGGATAAGGTAAGTATTTACTTACTAGAATTAAGAAAATTATGACTTAAAAATCACAGCCTGTGAGGAAAGCCTTCAGTCAGCACAAAAGAAAATAATGTTAACTTCATTTGGTTTTCAGCGAATTTAAGAAATTTTTAAGGTAAAGCAAATAGAGGGACAGAGAACTTAAATGAATCAAATATGTTTTAGAGAATAAATTCACACTGAACTCAGAAAATCTAGAATTTTCTTCAGAAGCAAATTTTTTAGTAAGAAAATAGAAAGTGTATATAAAGCTACAATGCCAGGTACAAAGCAATGAATGCAAAAATAAGCACAAGAAATAACAGTGCTGTAGGAGCTTGGAGGAGAACAGCTTTGATTTGAAGATTCTGTGCTGGTCTACAGCCTCTGTTCAAATAGTTTAGGTGTAAGGAAGACCCTGGGCTCAGATAGTTGGGGTAGTGTGGAGTGGAGTGGAAGTGGGGATGCTTCAGGTGATCCTGGCCATCCTAGCCCAGCCACAGGTACTACAGACTTGAACCAGCAGATCCAGTTCTGCAGTCTTCAAGTTGCCCCCTACACTTACAATATTGACAACTTTATGGTCCCACTCCCATCATCAGGCTGATGTGGAGATGGTCTCTCTAGGGCAGAGTCTTCCCTCTAGATACTGCCACGTCTGCCAGCTCACATAACTGAACTTCTGTCCCCCAAGAAACACTTTATTGCCCACTGGGTCTGGAGGCTGACTTGAAGCCAGATCTGTTGGTTTTTTGACAGTGTGGTGAATCAGAGTTAATTTCTCTTCCTTCGGTGCTTTGTGGTGGTACTTTGTTTCTATGTCAATGGCCACTGGAGGCACCACCACCTGGCATTTCTATTGTTTGCTCCTACTTCTCAGAGAAGATCCCCTCAGAGAGACCTGACCTCCCACCTTGGAAACACTGCTCACTCCTGGATTTTTCCCTTTTCCTCATGTCTTCCTTCATTCTTGGCCAACACCCTGTATTTATGAGGTATGAGAAGCCTTTCTTTTTGCCATAGTGGTCTCAACTCTTACTAAAGACAGCATCTTCTGTCCTGCTTTATTCTGGTTCCTTGGTCCTGAGAGCTGCCTACCTTCTGAAAACCACTGCACTGACATTTAAAGATGATAAGGATTGTACACCAAGGAGTCTGCTTTCAGCACATAGCTGGAAAAGTGGAGGATGTAGTGATGGTGGGCAGAGACATGTGGACAGAATTTAGCTGAATCTAAAAAGAAGAATATGTTAAAGAAGAAATAATCCCAGTAAAAAATATAAAAATAAAAAAATATAAAAATAAAAAAAATATATAAAAAAGATGATAAGGATTGTACACCAAGGAGTCTGCTTTCAGCATATAGCTGGAAAAGTGGAGGGTGTAGTGATGGTGGGCAGAGACATGTGGACAGAATTTAGCTGAATCTAAGAAGAAGAATATGTTAAAGAAGAAGTAATTCCAGTAAAAATTAAAAAAAAATAAAAAATACATAAAAAGATAATAATTCTAAAATTGCTATCTCAGTAAATGCTATCATTAAAGCCTCATGGATTGTTCCCCAATTTTAACAGACTTCCTTAGGATCAGAGTTCCAAACACTGGAAAAATATATGATAGTGTCTTTCTTCTAAAGGATGAACGCATTATTCAGCTAAATCCCCTAAGTAAATGTTTCAGCCTCAGTAGGGGAACAACATTTAAATTTTTTATCCCTTTAAACATTTCAAAAATGGCCTATGCTTTCATAATACAAAAAAATATATATCTCTAGGTAAGAGCGAGCCTTCCATTGATGGGGTCTCTGAAATATAGAGTACCTTGATGTATAACCAACCTCCTTCATATAGAATTGAGATCAAAGCACTCTATGGAATAATGGATTGTCCTAGCTCAAAGGAGTCAGACAGACTACCTACCAGAAACCTTCACTTTTCAGTTGAAGGAAATGAAGCCCAAAAGGTTAAGAAATATGCCTTACAGAAAAACTTCTCTAAACTACTGGTGGATCCAAAAATTCAGCATTTCCACACTCCTGCCCCAGAAGTCAAATTTCTATTTTGCTCCTAATCTCTGTTAAGACATTCAAGCATTAACTTATTGAAACAAGCATCCCAATTTTCAACAGCATTTTAATTTTAGGGTCAAGAAATGATATTTTGTGAGTTAAAATATTTGCTTCAACTTGGATTTATATCATCCTAATCAAGGGTTTAGGGTCCTAAACTCACTAAAGAATTCTCTGCTTGACCAGGGGCAGGTCACAGTGGAGAGAACTTTAAATGGTTAAAACAGTGAAATTCTAGAGTAGCTTTGCCATTAACTAACTGTTTTACCTTTGTAAAACTGCCTAACTTCTCTGGTCCAGTCTTCCCATTTGAAAAAGAGACAAAATAACAGTTGTTTTTACTCTCTGAGAAAAAAATAGTTAAGTGTGAAAAGGGGGTTAGTCTCTAGCTTCCCACCCAATATTCTCTTCAGATTTGAGTGTTTTAATTTATATGAAAACAATGCACCAGTGCAGTAGAAGATGTGGTGGTGGTAGGCAGAAAAATGGTCCTACAAAGATGCCCATGTCCTTACCCCTCAAACCCCCAAACCTATAGATGCATTACTTTAAATGGCAAAGGAACTTTGCAGATATATTAAATTAAGGCCCTTGGGACAGGGGAGAATATCCTGGTTTATCCATAGAAACCCAGTATAATCACAAGGGTTATTTTGAGAGGGAGGCAGGAGTATCAG